TCCTTAGTCTGAACAGCACCAGCCCTGTCCCTCCTGATAGTATAAACCACCCTGGGCACATCTACGGTCCTCGTAATCTCATACTGCCTGATACCCAAGTCTAAAGCTATTAACGTTCCGGTTCTACCTGTCCCTGGACTACAGTGGACCACTATCGGCCCAGGTCCGCCCCTCTGAAGTGCTCTTGCTTCTAGCAAAACAGCTATCAACCCTGCACCGTCCGACTGGACCCCGTCAACTGGCCAAAGGTACCAAATGTGGTACACTTCTCTGTAAGTGTTGTTCTCCAGGTTCTGCAAAATGACGAATTTCACTTTAATGTTAAATCAAGTATTCCTACATCGATTTATAAAATGGATAGACAGACGAAGCATATTAATAAACAAAATTGATATTTCAATTAATATTTCTAAAATTGTAATTACTTTTAAGTGTAAAGTGGAGATAGCATATTTTTCTTTAGTCTCCCTTTTCTTCAAAGTGACTTGAAAATCGCCGTACAGCCGATGGCAATCGGTAACTTCGGAGGGTGGAATATACTCCGTGCACCTCTCCACACCGTTTTCAATCAAGTCCGTTAACATAATTATGACTTTGCACTGCTGTTCCCAGATCAATCTCCAGAAGTCAGTCACCGTCGATTCCATGGGAGCTTGGCAAGCTATGTAATATTTGGTAGCATTTTTTGGACCCTGCAATTGTATAATTAAAATAATTTAATTTTTGTAAAAGAAAGAGGATAAAATTGATCGATACATGATAAATTTCAAAATGAAGTCCACGCATTCATCATTCGCGTAATAATTAATTTTGCGAACATTATGTTATGAATTATAAAATAAGTTCTTACATCTTATATTATTATATATTGACTGCAGTTTGCAATAATTTAGACAGTCATTAATAATTAAACTAAGAGTAACTGCGGATCGGAATTGCATGCAATTAGATTCGCAATTAAATCTTGGGAATCGACAGTATCGATTGATATACTGTTCCATACCTACATAGCCACAATGCAATTACTTATCAGTATCGATTCGCCTCGGAACAGAGGAACACTACTTTAGAATATCGAATTACATAATTAGCCTTTCCAGATATAATTAACATTACTTCCAATTATTATTGACTATTATAATGCACTGTTCAGATTTCGTTTTCTGAATTGATATCATGAAAACATCTCATTTTATATAAAAATTTGCAGTGTGGTATACCAACGATGTAATAAATTATCGTCGCTTACCCTAACGTAACTGGCGTTGATATACTCGGTGAGAGGATCGTTATTAATCTTCTGCAGCATGACCCTCGTCTCGGGAAGCGGGATCCCGTTCGCGTACCGATTCTTCAATTCCGCTCCCGGTGGCAACTCGTCTATCTTTGCTGTCATTTGTGGAATATTTCCAAATTCCTCGTTAATCGCGTTCGTATCGTTGCAGAATGACGAGAGGCCGGCGAAATTTAGGGGATGAGAGGGTATCACGGTCTGAAATCCGAATACGAACGTATGTTTAATACATTTATTATTAGTAAGGCGCTAGACTCTGATAGCAGTGCAGCTAGGCAAAATGTTAATGTTAATACGGGCTAGGAATCGACCTGTGAACAACATATTCGTTTGCCTCCTGTCTTCAGGGGTATTAACATCCTATTACAAATTACATCTTATATTATTATATATTGACTGCAGTTTGCAATAATTTAGACAGTCATTAATAATTAAACTAAGAGTAACTGCGGATCGGAATTGCATGCAATTAGATTCGCAATTAAATCTTGGGAATCGACAGTATCGATTGATATACTGTTCCATACCTACATAGCCACAATGCAATTACTTATCAGTATCGATTCGCCTCGGAACAGAGGAACACTACTTTAGAATATCGAATTACATAATTAGCCTTTCCAGATATAATTAACATTACTTCCAATTATTATTGACTATTATAATGCACTGTTCAGATTTCGTTTTCTGAATTGATATCATGAAAACATCTCATTTTATATAAAAATTTGCAGTGTGGTATACCAACGATGTAATAAATTATCGTCGCTTACCCTAACGTAACTGGCGTTGATATACTCGGTGAGAGGATCGTTATTAATCTTCTGCAGCATGACCCTCGTCTCGGGAAGCGGGATCCCGTTCGCGTACCGATTCTTCAATTCCGCTCCCGGTGGCAACTCGTCTATCTTTGCTGTCATTTGTGGAATATTTCCAAATTCCTCGTTAATCGCGTTCGTATCGTTGCAGAATGACGAGAGGCCGGCGAAATTTAGGGGATGAGAGGGTATCACGGTCTGAAATCCGAATACGAACGTATGTTTAATACATTTATTATTAGTAAGGCGCTAGACTCTGATAGCAGTGCAGCTAGGCAAAATGTTAATGTTAATACGGGCTAGGAATCGACCTGTGAACAACATATTCGTTTGCCTCCTGTCTTCAGGGGTATTAACATCCTATTACAATCTCCATTCCACTTACAACAAATTATGGAAAGCAATTCTAGCGCTCACTACAGTAGAAAATGCACTAATGTATTATAAAAGTGGATAAATTCTGATTAATAAATGAATGGAAATAAAATTCTGCATTTTTATTTCACTATCCTTGACCAAATATGATCTAAAGTAGCGATCACGCATTCCTTTATTC